TGGGGGGCGGAGGGGCGGCGATGTGCTGCTGAAAATCCGAGGGTCGAGACCGGGAGAAGATCCGGGCGTCCCTCTCGTCAGCGGCTTCATCAGGGGGGACCCTGCCCACACCGCAGAGGGGGTGGCTGGGCTCCCGCCGGCTCTCCAGGGGCTCCACCTTCCTGGGGCTGTCGGCCGGTGGGCAATCCCGCAGGAGCTGGGTCAGCTCAGCCTCCTCCGAGTCCTCCTTCAGGAAATGCTTTATCTGGGGACCAAGGGGAGGACGTGACACCAATGGTGGCAGTGTCAGCCCAAGGCAGCATCACCCGACTCGGTATCACGATCCCCCAAGCTGCAGCAACCAGACACATGCACCCCAAGGATGGCAGGGGCGGGAGGAGAGGGGGACATGACCACGCCAGGGGACCAGCCACCACCCTGGGGAAAGCCATGGGGACAGCCACAGGGACAGCCATGGGGACAGCCACGGTCCCACACACCCCAGACGCTTACAACTTGTGGCTTGGGGACAGCAGCCAGCTCCTGGCACTCCAGGGGACAGGGACCTTCCCCCTGAACACCCTGCTGCTCCTCAGGGTCTTCTCGGGTAGCCAGGACCCCCCCACACCCCATGGCCTGGTGGGAGGATGGGGAGGAGGGTGTCAGGGAGGAGTGAGAAACACCAAGAAGAGATGAACAGCAGCAGTGGAGGAGCTGGCAGTGGGGCCAGACCCAGGGGGGAGGCAGATGGTGGGCAGGGGTCTGCCTTTGCCCCCCCTGCCCACCCAGTCGCAGGGTCTCAGCACAGGTGATAGCACAAGGGCCTCCCATCCCTGCAGTCCCAGGGGAGAGCCAGGGCAGGGGACCTGACCCACGGCCACCACGTGCTAAGAGCTCGGGGGCAAGGGGACACCCCTCATGCGAAGGGGCCATGCTCAGGCACACAGCGGGACCCCGATACCCTCTTGCCCCGACTCTGCCCATCCTGCAGCCAGTGCAGGCAGCAGCCCCAGGCGGGGGCCAGGGTGGGGACCAGGCGCAGCAGCCCCCAAGCTAGTGGCCCCGTGGGGCTGGAAAGAGGAACGGGGACGCCGGGACTGGGACGGCTCCACATCCTGTTTACAAGCACTGGCGGGAGGAGACGCGTTCCCAAGGGCACGTCCGGCAGCAGCTCTGCGGGCCCAAGTCCTCCTGCCAGCAGGCACCAGGGTCCCCAATGCCCCTCCACGGCAACTGCCCAGACACTCCAGCTCCATGGGCAAGGAGACCCCCAAATGGGGGTCACATAGGGTCTGGGGGAGCCCCCAAACCTGCAGGCTCACACCTGGGGATCAGTGCCCCCCTCCTCCCCAGACCAGTGCCCCGAGGCAAGAGCCTTCCATGGGGACACGTGTCCTCCCTGGTCCCGTGTCCCTGCTCCATCTGCGGGGAGGGCGGCCGTGCCGGCGGCAAGGCGAGATGCACTGAATTAGTGGGCTGGAAACAAGGTCACGGCGCTGCTGGGGCTGAGCACTCACACGCCTGCCCCCCGCTCCCCAGTGCCCCTGTAGCCACCAGCACAGAGGGGGCCATGGTGCCAGGCTGGGGGGGCAGCAGGTGCACCCATGGCAGGGGCTGCAGGGCCCCCATGCTCCCCTCTTCCCCAGCAGGTCAATAGAGCTCAGCGGGTCTGTGTGACTGCAGCATCCTCTTCCTCACTGACCTTGACCTGGGGGGGCTCAGCACCAGCCCCCACCGCAGCGCAGCCCAGCTAGCAGCCACACAAGGATGGGAGATGATGCCATCACCACCAAACACTCCCAGCCCTGCTGCTGCTCCATCCTTTGGGGCTCCCCTTCATCCCCCACCCCAGAGAAGCCAGTGGCTTCGTCAATGCCAGCAGCAAGCACAGCTCCCAGCAAGGCCATCCTGGGAGCAGAGTATCAGCTGTGACAACTCCTTGCAGCAGCAGGGTGCTACAGGTCCCCCAGCCCCATCTGTCCCCTCTCCTGCCCCACCAGGGAGGGATGCTGCCCCCGTACCTCTTGTCCAGGCTGCAGCTCGGGGCAGGTGGCCATGGCAGAGCCGACATCACCCGTGGGCACAAGAGGATGGCGAGTGGCACCGGCTGCGCCGAGGGATGTGGAGCACCATTAGCATAACTCCGCCCTGGGCAGGCACTGTGGCCTGGGCGCCCACAGCACCCAGCAGCCAGGCACAGCCCCTGCAGGTGCTCGGGGACAGAACCAGTGCAGGGGGCACAGGAGGGGAGAGGGAGCCCTAGGGCAGAGCCAAACCCAGCTCCTGGCCGGTTGTCAAAGTGTCAAGGACAAGCAAAGCACCACTTGCCAAGGAAGTGACAAGGCAGGTCCTGGGGTGCTGCATGACCACCACCACCACCATCACCACCAGCAGCCCCCCTGGGCTGAGCACACAACTTGGCTACAGCCCAGGAGGACATTCAGACCTCAAACATCTCCATCCCAGGACAAAACCGCCTCCATCCCAGGACAAAAACTGCCTCCATCCCAGGACAAAAACTGCCTCCATCCCGGTGCACACCAGATCCTCTCCCATGCCCCACCCTGAAGCACCCTGGCAGGGCCCCCCCAGCCTCTTTGAGGGGAGAAACCCCGTTTTCCACAAAAGACCATTTGAAAACTCAACACTTTTGCACCTGAAAATTAAAGCTACCCCACATGGCTACAAGTTCCTGCTCTGGCTGGGCCTGATGGGTCCAGCCGAGAAAGACCCAACCTCAGGCTGGGAGAAGCAAGACCCCCACCACAGGGGTCCCTGGCTGGCGCTCCTGCTTCAGCTTCCCTGGCTCATCCTTAGGGAGGCAAAGGGTTAATGGTGCCCCAGGATGAGCCTGGATGGCAGCAAGGGTGCCTGAGCTGTCACTGCTAGGGGTCTCCAGGGACAGTGATTCACCTTGATGCATGTCTAGATGTATCAGAGCAGCTCAGGCACGGAGCCGGGGTCGCTCGGCCATGGAAGGACTGCATCCACAAGGAAAGCACTAAAAAGCCCTGGAGCATCGACTGGGGCAGGGACAGGTGCAATGAACCGTGAGCCTGCCAGTATCCCTGAATCCCAGCCATGCTCCAAAACACAGCGCCAGCTCTCCTCCCACCCAGCTTTGAGGCCACCCCATGCCAGACACCCTGATGTCCCCACCTGGCCTCAGGCACCCCTGCTCAGCCCAGTCCCAGGGCAGCCACTATCTTCACACCTCCCTAAAGGAGCTCCCCGATGACTTTTCATCCCCTTTCCCACCCCCTCACAGGCTGCAGCACCCCACCAGCCTGCCAGGCTCTGCACCCCACCAGTTGGTGACCCTCGCCCCCAAAAACCCCAGTGCCGCACAGCTCTCCCACAACACCCACCGCTTTACAACCGTCCCACCCTGCACTCCCGGCAGGAGCAGGAGTGGGGATTTACTGCAGTGAGAGCCTGGGGCTGTGCCGGCGCCCCTGTAAGCGGATTACACACCCAGCTGCGCGTGAGCCGGTGCTCAGTGCCAGGGCTGTCACCGGCCCAGCAGCTCCAGCGAGGTGGCACACACGCCGCCTTGTCCCCACCTGTCACGCGGCATCACACTTTCCCCGTGCAGTGACAGCCGAGGACCGTGGCAGAGCAGGGCACGGGGCCAGTGGGCAAAGCCTGAGCTGGGAAAGCCCTCGGCTGCCTGTTGGCATCTTTATGCCTGTTACCACATTCCCACGGGATGTGTTTTCCCAGCCTGTTCCTGTAGGGAAAGGAAGAGAACGTCCCAGGGAGGTGCTGTCCCCGCAGCCAGGCCAGCCGAAACATCCCCAGCCCACCCAAAGGTGACACCAATGTGCCACCCATGGCACAGCACACACGGCCCCACTGCAGCACAATGGCTGAGCATCCCAGGCACAAACACCCTGTCCCAAAGGCACCAGCTCCGCCTGGGTCAAGGGCATGGTGGCCCCTGTCAAAGCCCAGCTCTGCTGGGACCAGCCTGGCTGTTCCCCAGGGCAGCCAACACCTGGCTGCACCTGCTCTGACCTGCCTCCAGACGCCCGGGGTGCTCCCGTTGGCGCGCTGTAGTCAGAGTTTCTTACTCCCAGCTCTCCCCTCCAACCCTGTCAGCAGCACCCCAGTGAGGAAACTGAGTCTAACAGCAGCTTTAAGAGGGGCAGGGTGCTGGGCACCCTGTGGACGCAAAGGCACTGGTCCCCACTCTGGACACGGGAGAGCATGCAGGACGAGAGTCTTTCCAACATGTCCCTCAGCACAGCAGCTCCAGCCCCTTTCTTGCAGGGAATTCTCCAGCTTGAAGGACCTGCGGGTGCCTGCGTGGGGATCCCGGGATGGGATCACACATGGTGGCTCCCTGCGAGCTGGGAAGTGACAGCAAGGCCTGTCCGGACTGGAAACAAGGCAGCATCTCAGCACGTGGGGACAGGGGAGAGGATCTAGCTCACTAAGAGCCATGAGCAGAGGTTGAGGGCGACCGTTGCTCATCCTGCTTCTTCAAGAAAGCCATGGACCACTTTGGGGACAGAGGGATGTGGCACCAGTGTTGGGGGCCACCAGCTCCACCCCTGTGAGTCCTTCTGGCTGCATCCACACCCAGCTGCAGTCGCAGCTCACCCCACGAGCACGGACGAGGGAGCCCAGCTCCCCTCCCGTACCCTGCTGCGGCTGCCCTCCTCCCCCTGCGAAGTTCCCAAGCCTGGATCTGTCCGTCCCCAAAGCCATGGCCGGGAGCCTTGCGGGAAGGCGCTCGCCAGCGCCGGTTGCGACACGCTCCGCCAGCCGCCCTCCTATCTGGTTTCGCTGCTCCGGAGGAATGTGCCGGTCCCGTTCCCACGGCGGCTGCCGGGGAAGGACGGCCGCGATGGTCCCCACCAAGGGCACTTGTCCCAGTGGCCGCAACCCTGGTGCCACGTGAGCCACGGCCACAACCCTCCATCTCCATCCCCACCCTGGGCATGGCCAGAGCCTCGAGGTCCCCGCGGGGACGTGGCCCTGGCGAGTGGCTCCTGGGGACCTGCCACCCGCCCAAGCGGGACGAGCGGTGCGGGACGGGCTCCCG